CATGTTTGGTGGGACGGGGATTCGAACCCGCGACCCTCAGATTGCGAGTCGAGCACCTTGTCCACCTGGCCATGATATTTTATTTACTTGAATAGTTGGAACAATTGAAAATTGTAACAACCAGAAACCCTAATTTTTATCAATTTCTCATCTTGGTATGTCCTAACACTCATTAAAACAAACCAACTTGAATTAACCAAAAATAATTAATGAAAAAGCATAAAAAGCAGTATTTTTGATTACTGGATAGTTGGAACAATTGGTAACAGTAATTCATTATTTTTGTAGTATTAATCAACTTAATTGTGATATCAATTAATTGGTTATTTTAGATGACAACTAATCAATACTCAAAGGTAATCAGTTGTATCATTTAAGCTATTTATTTGCCTCACTCTGTTCCCTAGGGAGACTGAGCACAATCACAGTTGGAGATTCCCAAAGCCTCTTACTAGTACATAAGATTTTAGTCAGTTTATTGTGGACTATAAAAAAATGGAAAAACAAATTAAACCTAAACAAGACAAAATATAGTTGAATTCCCATCAAGTGCTTGGTACAAAGCCAAATACCTCCCTCCCACTGTATGCACAGTTAAATTTCCAATGAACACTTAGTGCCAACCACCTCCTTCCCACTGTAAATACAGCTGAACTTTCACCGTGTTCGTGGTGCCAACCACCTCCTTCCCACTATAAATACAGCTGAATTTTTCCACCAAGTTCTTTGTGACAAAACCTCCCTCCCAACTGTATGTACAGTTAAATTTTCAATGAACACTCAGTGCCAACCATCTCCTTCCCACTGTAAATTCCTAAAACTGTGCTTATAGGTAAAATTATTTATCATATTTTGTTTCAGGCACAAAGCCAGATGAAAACCAAAACACAGAAATCTTCGGTACCAATTCCAGACTATGGCCATAAAGTTCGGATGTTCTTCCAAGAACTGCAGTCTTCACCCGGGAAAACGTTGGCTTCTTTACACGTGACTGACTTGAGTATGTCAACCACAGATTTTATTGGTCTTTTACAAGATGTTGCTGATGAACAAAATTTTCAAAACAAATATTGTATGTTGGAAAACTCTCGTTCTGATGGTATGTATCGGTCACAACTTTTTCTCAGTAAAGCTTGCTAACAGGGCAGCCCAATTTAGATTATGAGAGATTATAATTGGCAGAAACTAGTATAATATACATGAATATTTTGGTGCTTCTTGTGGTAAACTGTAATGTCATGTTCTGCTTCCTCATACTGATTTTTTACTTGTTCAGTTTTGTTCTATGTTGTGTTTATTTACTAGATATATCTTTGGTTTTAGTAGCTTTGTGAGTTTACCTTTATCTTATAATCCTAAAACATATTTTTAACACAATAAGTTAATAGCAATAAATCAAGCTAAATTGAATTATAATAAAATAGAAATAAAGTAAATGTGAATAAAAAACTTAAAACAGAAAATAGCAAATTAAAAAACAATGCTGGCCGGTAGAGTGAAGAAGGAAGATCTCGGCAACTGATCTTGCCTGAACTTTCTTCTCTCAACTTTCAACATACAGTCATAGAAAGTCACGAAACTTTTAACCAAGAAGCAATCATGTAGAGTGAAGAAGGAAGATCTCGGCAGCTGATCGAGCCTGAACTTTCTTCTCTCAACTTTCAACATAAAGTCATAGAAAGTCACAAAACGTTTAACCAAGAAGCAATCATGTAGTTAATCACAATCATGAGAAAACATTAAATAGATTGTTTCCACTTACCTGTAGCAACTGTACAGGTAATCTTGTCTTTAGAAAGAGCTGACCACCATGGACAACTTCCGAGTAGTAGTAGTAGCGAAGACAGTCCTGTCTAACTTCTGCTTTGGAGATTTCCTTCATAAGACTGTGTTTCACAAGTTCACATTGACAAACTGTTCCAATGACAAGCACAGGAGCTAAAAAGTAATATAATAGTGGAGAAAAAAACACTTCTTATATACAATATTGTAAATTAATTTTGTAATAATGAAGTGAACTTGTATCAAAATTCCCTGAAAATGCACTTAAAGAAGAAAGTTTAAAATTTTTAAGGCTATTTTAAGTTTTTTCTCATAGCTTTGTGGCATTAAAATGACAAAATGGTCTGTTAGTTTATTGGGAAACTTAGGTTGTAGAATATTATATTTTAAAACTTAACAAAATACTCAATTTTGTGGGAGCAAGAATTTTTAGTTTCGTTTTTTTTAAGTCAGTCTGGATCTTTCTTAAGATTCAGTAGAAACATTGATTGTAGGGGTCAGTGTTGAAGTTGTAGTGATCAGGTGCCGCATTCATGATCAAGTATTGGTATTTATCGATAGCTTCTAGTGACAGATACGTGAAAATTGAATTTCCAACAGTGTTTTATAAACTGTTAATTGATTGGACAAAATGTTCAAATGGATGAGAATTAACAAATCAGATACAACTACACAAAAGCTTCACCTGTTAACCTGGGATCATCGACAAAATGGTTGCACCTTAGCGATCCTTTAAGTACACTAGAATAAACAAAAAGAATTAAGACAAGCAGGTTTAATGGTGGAAATCGCATGACCTGCAAAATCTATTTTGTGGACAGTATCCTTACTTACTACCATAATGTCATCTCACTCACTTGTTCTGTGCTACTCTTTTGCTGCAAACATTACTTGGCTTTATCTTCTTAACTGTTATATTTTATCATTTGGATCATGGTTTATGCATTTTCAGGAGGTAATATTGTACATATTGAGAACAGTGTGTGATACACTGAATGTCTTTAAGTTATTTCATGTTCCTTTTGTTCCACTAATAACTCCTGATGATTGCGTAACACTAGTGTGCAATATATATTTTTACTGGTACTTGTTTTATTTACTGTGGATAGCAGCATCCAACGCGCAAGATATCAACAACTTCCTGCCCTCCCAAAATTCAATTACCACATTTTGTACAAAAAGTTACATACAATACCTAGATGTTTTTACACACTGTGTCCTACCATTATTTTTGGAGCCCATTGCTGTCATTTCAGTGTGTTATGTTTGATTTTGCTTTGAGAGATTAATTATTTCAACACCTTTTAAAAACCATACATATCTCAGTACAAATACTTTTGTTATACATCTGAATCTTTTGATGTACAAAAAACTTGTACATTAGACTAAAAGTTTAAAAGGTAGTAAATATGGATGTATAATAAGCATTCCTTCTCCAATAGAGGGCTGATGCTATGCACATTCAATTAAACTCCTGTACATTTTGAAATTAAACTAAATTTCAAGAAGTAAAGTACTAAGTAAATACATAACTATCAAAGTTGTGGACTACCTGAAGAATATTGAGCTGAAGTTTTATAATTTTGTGTATTTTGTTTTTAACCAGTTTATTTTGATGCAGTCTATTGTGTTGAAAAACTAAACTACAAATACGGTTCCACATGAAAGCGGGCTTGTGTTGTAACGATGGTGAACCATTTGATTAAACATTTCAGGAAACCAGCAGTGTTTAGTTCATCTTGGTGCTCTCCCTGCAATGATATGTTTTGGAATGGGAAAGTCGTCTGATGATGCCAAGGAAGATGCAGCTAAAAATGCTCTACACATTTTAGAAATCATTACGAGAACATGAATACACTTTAACCAGTGTTGATACCTCAGACAGCAAACTACAAACAACGTGAAGATTGGATGATCGGTTGCTTCTGTAGTCTATTTAACATTACATGTTAGCTGAGATTTTCAGAATAACACTTAATATTAGTAAAGTTTGATGTACCTCGAGTTAAGTGCAAGGAATTTTGTAAAAATAATACACAGAAAAGGTGAAATTGAATTAAATGAAAGTTGAAATGTTTTACAGTATATTTTAAGTTTGTAAATCTTATTTTCACCCTTTTATACTGATATTTGTGTTTGTCTTGTTGTGTAAGTAAGGTAATATGTGGATAAAAATGACAGAATGGCTAGTGGCTAGAATTCATGTATCCGTTGTATCCTCACAAGGCTGCATAACGTTCAGTCTTATGCTTACCGAGATTATACTGCAGTAGACCTGCTTTATAATCTTGTTGCAAATGTGTTTTTAATCTTGTAGAACACAGCAATCGTTTTATTAAATTCATTTTTAACCCTTCTATGCATTGGCTATAGTCACAAAATTGTGTATGGTCATTTGTTGGTTTTAATGAAAGTAGTTATTAAATTTATTCATAGATGGCACCACATATATCTAGAAATTTACTAGATGGTTGAATAAAATATTAGGAAGTACTATTTCATTTTGAAAAAAATCAACTCAATACAAATAGAATTTAGTATAATATTACTGCACACAATACTTTGCCCAGATAACCTGGCATCATTAGTTCAAGATGAACATATACACATAGTTAACTTTAACAAGTTTAATGTATGGGTTGGATACATTAAGGTCTTGTAAAAACTGTGTAATGGTGATAATCCTCAGGGAATAGATTTAGTATTAACAAGTGTTATCTAGAAAAGTTTGCAGTGAAACTTTGAGTTTGACATCCTTTGATGGACGTAATAGCCACGTTAACGTTTTACATACAAAGGTAAGTTTTAAATGAGGTGGTGGTCGTGATTTTTGAACTGTAAGCTTGAAGACAATGTTGATTTTAAAAAATGTCATTTCCTGAAATGATTAAAAACTTTTTGATTTTTCAAAGGAATAAATAATAATAAAAGCTTGGAACACTCTTTAATTTGTGACAAAAATATATTGTATATTTTAGAGAAAATACAGTAAGAAAAAAGGACAATATTTTGCCAATTTGACATGCAAAACAGTGTATAAAAATGTTTTTAATTTCATTTTTATTCTGCTCTACCTCAAAACAAAGTGATTAAGCATTGAGAAATAAAAAAAAACTGTATTTCTTTCAGCAAGTGGTAGTGTAAAAATATAAATTTCTATCGAACGTGTGTAAATTATTACCAGGAAGATGTGTAGATTGACTGATTATGTGATATTACGAAAACAACAAGACTGAAAACCTATGTAGGACCAGTAGAGAAAGTCTTATTATAATATCACACAAACAGCCAGTCCGTACATGTTTCTTTACTGGCATAATAATTCCTCATGCTAGCAAAGTGTGATGTAGTTATATATTGGGTAAATGTGTGTTGATCCAGTAAGTTCTTGTGATGAAACTTTGTCTGAATATTTTGTTCAATATAATACTGATCACCATTATGACGTTTGAGAAATGAAGGAAGTTTCACTTGCATCTTTTGGAATAATTGGAGATGTCATGGTCAATTTTTGCTTCTGTATTATATGTTGTGCGAAAGTATGCATTAACTTCTCAATTTCAAAGATAATTATGTTACATTTTTCTGATTAACTGGTGTACACATATATAACTAACCATGTGCAACTACTTTTAGGACAGTACAGTATTTCTTCCAGTGACGAGAAAATCGTAACTGTGCTTGGAATTCCCATAAATGTTCAGTTCGGTACAAATTTTGTTTTTAGTGCATTGAGCCCTAGTGTTTATATATGTGTTGTTACGAGTCATGACTAGATTTGTGTCATTATAAGTTGCGGTTATATCTGTGTCATTATGAGTCACAATTATATCTGTCATCATGAATTATGACTAGATCTATGTCATTATGAGTCATGATTACATCTACGTCATTTTGATTGAGTCATGATTAGATCAATGTCATTATGAGTTTTGATTAGGTCTACATCATTATGGGTTGTGATTAGATCAATGTCATTATGAGTTATTAACTGTTGACACTTCTATAAACTTCAGCAAATTATTACATAACTAACTGTTAGGTAAAAAGCCGCTCCATTATATGTAAACGTTAGTAAAACTCTGTGGTTTTTGGTTCAACTTAATATCGAGTCATCAAGAATTGCGATATCCACAGTACAAACCTTGGTAGATTTGTTACTGCTGGTGTCAACATGTCAATTATGTTACTCTGTTGTGTCTACATGACTTAACTTCTGGTTTGAATGGTCATACTGTTCATCACAATAACCTTGGATTATTCTTACTTATTTGGGTCAGTAGGATAGTGTGTCAAAACTTAAAACCATTGTTTTTGGTTACTAAAATTTATAATACAGAGAATAATTTGTATTGTACAGGAAATAAAAATGTCAAAACACTGGGTTAATTGTCAATTTTGGATGTCAATTGCATGTTTTTTTTACTTTGATCACTTATTTAGTAAATATTCCAAAGTTCTAAAACCAGAATCATATTGACCGAAATCTTCAGTTGTCCATTTTTTCCTGTTTTGATACCTTGTTTTTTCTGTAGCCAGAGATATTTGTAATTTCCGCTTTACACAACTATGTTTTGATCACTACTATTGATGGTTTAATGTTCAGGGGTATCTTTTTTAGTCGAAGGGCTATTTTTATGTTTTTTCTGAAAGATTAAAGACTATATTATAAAATGAGTAAGATAATGATAAATTTTTGTTTAAAAAACCTCTTGTAGACTTTGCCAAAGTCCTACGAGATTGAAAGTACTGTATGGTAAGTATGATGGAATACATACTGAAGGATTTCATAATCATAGCTATGGTAATGGAATACATACTGAAGGATTTATAATCATAGCTATGGTAAGTATGATGGAATACACACTGAAGGATTTTATAATCATAGCTATTCTTGGATTAATATTGTGTATAGTTCTATAAGTAAACTGATGTATCTTTATGTTCCTAAGTTTATAAAATGCTTACTTGTTTTCCATTTTCTAATATTGAGGAATTATGTCTAAATAAACAGCATTATTTTACAAGTAAAGCCATTCTCCTGGCTCTGAAAATGCTCCATCTTCTATTCACCTAACACCTTTTTTATTTGATTATAGACAATTAAGTAATATCTCCACCTTCTGTTCAGCAAACACATTTTTCTTTGGTTATAGGCTATTAAGTAACATTTCCACATTTTCTTCACCTGTTGTGTTTTCTTTAATCATTGGCTATCACTAATATAGAGCTAACAAAACAATGACACCCTTGAACTGTCTCTTACTGCTTCTTTAGTGTGAGTTTAACAAAACTAGCGTCATGGTGTGAGTTATAGAGAAATACACGAAACTATCGTCATGGTGTGAGTTATAGAGAAATACACTATACTATTGTCATGGTGTGAGTTATAGAGAAATACACAAAACTATCATCATGGTGTGAGTTAGAGAAATACACAAAACTACCGTCATGGTGTGAGTTATAGAGAAATACACAAAACTGTCGTCATGGTGTGAGTTATAGAGAAATACACAAAACTATCGTCATGGTGTGAGTTATAGAGAAATACACAAAACTGTCGTCATGGTGTGAGTTATAGAGAAATACACAAAACTATCGTCATGGTGTGAGTTATAGAGAAATACACAAAACTATCATCATGGTGTGAGTTATAGAGAAATACACAAAACTATCATCATAGTGTGAGTTATAGAGAAATACACAAAACTATCATCATGGTGTGAGTTATAGAGAAATACACAAAACTATCATCATGGTGTGAGTTATAGAGAAATACACAAAACTATCATCATGGTGTGAGTTATAGAGAAATACACAAAACTACCGTCATGGTGTCAGTTGGAGATTTATAAAAAAAAATAAGCTTTCGCTATACCAGGCCCGGCATGGCCAGGTGGTTAGGGCGCTCTATTAGTAATTTGAAGGTCGCAGGTTCGAATCCCCGTCACACCAAACATGCTCCTTCTTTCAGCCGTGGGGGTGTTATAAAGTGACGGTCAATCCCAGTATTCGTTGATAAAAGAGTTGGCGGTGATGACAAACAAACAAAATCACTATATCATTATCAGAAACTTACAAAACAATGGGCCATAAGGACAAACGTCTCGTAAGATTTATTTTGTGGGAGGGGGAGGGGAGATAAAAAGGTAAAGAACTCACTGGTAATATAATTTTACTTTACTTAGTGAAACCACAGCTGTAAAGAGGGAGCGGGGTGGAATCCTTTCTCCCCCGAAATACTATTGCTGACCCCGTTAACAATTATAAAACGATATTGAGGAATTAGACCTAACCCAAAAAATGTTAAGTGACGTCAGTGATGTAACTTATTCTGACTATAGAGTTTCGGGGGGGGTGAACGCACTTTTAATTTCGCACAAAGCTACACGAGGGCTATCTGCGCTAGCCGT